ATTCCCACCTGTGAACAAAGGCAGCCACCTACCTTGAGACACCTGCAAGTCCTGACCAAAGCAACAGTGACGCAAGGACGTTTCTTCTAACAGGAAGAGAAAAACTGTAGAATAACACGTGCTACAGGTCAGCTCGATCCCTTACACAACACATACACAGGCCTGCAGATATTTTTTTCCCCTAAAGTATTTAAGGATTCCAGGCAAACAGAAAAGAGATATTCCTTTATGCGTTGAGGAAGTGACTATTTATCTACTGCACGGTCATGGCTCCAACTGCCCCCTTCACCCAGACTGGTTTCTCCAGGACAGCAACAAGAACACTGCGGCCCAGAGATCCTCATATTCGAGGTTTGCCAGGAAGCACATCTTCATTTTGGTTTCTACCCTGCTTTCATCCACCAGTCCGTCCGTGAGCAGAGTGGCTGCAGACTGGCAGAGAAGCCAGGCAATCATCTGGTCGAGCGTCAGGGTCTCAGAGGCCAGAATGCCTTCACCCCAGAGGCTTAAGTGAAGCACGTTAGCAGCCACTCGAGCAGATATTCTCTAAAAAAAAGAAAAAAAGAGGCAGAGGGAAAATGAGCTGATCTGGCTGAACTCAAAGTTACCAGCATGTAGGATACATACTGCTAAGAGGCAGTATGCAAGAGGACCTGCTCTGAGGCACCGTGCAGTCAGTGTGAACAGAAAAGCTCTTCCTGACAGACAGAATCAGGCTACTCCACTTAGCTCCCCCACTCAGCATCTGCTCACTGACTCCTTTGGACCACTGAAAACTGCAAATTATCCAGCAGCTACAGGAGACGTGACACTGTACCTCAAAGTTCTACATTTGATTTCACTCATTATCTACAGTGCAGACATTTGGCTTGCGAGTCATGCACCTGGAGACCTGGCAGGGCAACACGACCTACAACCAACACTCGAGAAGGCAGAGCCTCTCACCTTGCTGGGATCCCTCTGAAGTAGCATTTTTATCACTTGCTGCACCTCACGGGGCACGTGACCAGGCAGTTTGGGCAGCTGGTCCTCACGGTAACTCCTGCTTTCCAGAGTCGAATCCTCGTAGCCGTAGAAAGGATTGACTAGGCCAAAGATTTCATAGGCAATTGTTCCCACAGCCCACGCGTCGGCTTTGCTGTAGTCAATCACCATGCCAGGACCAGACGATGCTGTGATCACCTGCAGCAACAGGTCCGCAGAGATGAGGATGTTGCAAGGAACAGCTCTAAGCAGGCATTTTTTATTAAAACAATTTAGTATGGGTCAACTCAACAGAAACTGAATCTATTTCATCTAAATCTCCGATGTAAATATTTCTTATTGGTGTCCTCTAAGCCTTTGGTGCTGCTCAGCCTACCAAGACACTCAGATGATCTTGATCATCAGATTCTGGTCTTTAGTTCCTGCCTTTCACTAGCATTCACACAGTATTTAAGAGTCTTGAAGGATATTTTACTTAATGATTTAAGATATAGATAGGAGATGTATGGACAAACAAGCAATATCACACCCGCACAGTAAGCAATACAATCCATTACCTACGGATGCTTTGCCTTCATCGTTAGAGAAATAAAAAGTAACCATGAATGATTTCACAACCTCCTTGAACTTAATTTAAAAAATAAGCAGTGTTGCAGCACAAGGACTCCTGCACAAACTGTGTTAACATCTACGGAAAACAAGGCCTGAGAATAAGGAACAAACTTTTTACTGGTAATGTCAACTCTGCCTCCCGACAGTTGATGTTTCATTGTTCAGTGTTTACTCAGCAGAGTTCCATTTTGTTTTCATGTATTTATTAACACAGAGACGCTGTAACTCAAGTTAGAACGTGCACCTCCTGCCCTGCTTTATGGGCATTGACCCTCCGTGATGGACTGTAGACTGGGAATAGTTAAACAGTAACCGATGATGGGCATGAACACTCGTTCATGAAACAAGAATGCTTAGAAAATGATTGATGCAAACGCAGAGGCTTCCAGCAGGTATACACAGTAACGAGCAGTTACTATAGGGGGATTTACCTCAGGTGCCATGAGAGCGCCGTTGCCACCTATATCCACGGAATTGCTGGTGAAAGGCAGTCTCAAGCCAGTACTTTCATCTGCCAAACAGTAACCGAAGTCGGTGATCACCAGCCAAGGACAGCCAGCTGCAAATGACACAGGGTCAGCAGAGTTAGCAATCAGGTCAGGAATACCTGCTCGTACCAGATACTGTGTCACATCAACATCAAGGACGGTCTTCAGGAGCAGTCTCAATCTCCTTGGGAATCACCATAACCGCAGACTCTTTTCCTGCTTCCCTTCCAAACTACAAAGTGAAAAATCACTTTTCTTAACAATAACAATAAAAAAGAACAACTGTTCTTCCAGTTCCTCTTTAGAGGACATTACTTCTCCCCGTGGAGCATGAGTCTGACAAAACTCTGCTATTACCAGAGAAATGAAGATTCATAAGCTATGGAGGAAGGATAGGGGAATCTTTTAGATTTTTTGTTTGTTTTTATCTGTAGGAAAGGCGAGCTGAAAAATATTTGCGCTAGTTAATAGCTCTTGTGCTGAAGACAAGTAAACATTGCAAGATAGACTGCAAAAATGATGTTTTAAGTCATTCTTAACTGCATTCAACATAGCCTCAGAGAAGCTTTTGCTTCAGGAAAAGGATCTCTGGAAATATTTCAGGTCTGCTGTACCAAGACCTTTAATTATATAGATCTGACTGCCTGCTACTGTTTCCTGTCCATTTGAATCTCAGTCATGCCCCAAAAAAGAGCTCCAGTACTTAAAATCTTAGTTAAAGAGGCTGACAGGAGAACAAGATGATGAAAATGCTTCTGACTTTAACTCTGTGTCAGTTCTTTCTCCCATCAACTAATATTTAATGATCCCAAGGTGCAGCACTATTAACCTGGCTGTGAGGTGGGATTTGAAGAACCGTTATTGGTCCAGTGAGAGGGGACAGAGCCAAGGGCCTGGACTCAACAGTCTACTTTAATGATACGACACCTGAAGCACAGACAGAATAAATGACTTCCAAGGCGCCGCACAGACAGCAAGCTGAAAATCAAAACAGAGATTCCTGAAAGGATTTGATGCTTGTTTTTCTTTTTCAAAATGTATACCTGGATAGGTATTCCCCAAATATCTACCCGAGTGCATGATTTCCAAGTCTTACTTAACTTCATTAATTCCCTACTCTTTGCCATAAATACTTATCAGTCTACCCACCAGAATCAAATTCCATGAGGATGTTGTCAGACTTCAAGTCTCTGTGGGCTATTCCATGTCGAACAAGATGGTCCACACCTTCCAGCAGCTGCAGAATCATCATGGTGGCAAGACGAACATCTGGAACGTTCTCCCACAGATACTGGCGCAGGGTACAGGGGTAACTAGTCAGCACAAGGAAAACATCTGGATTAGAAACCCAAAGGTTATTGCTTACAACTTAAACTTAACAGTATCTAGCTGGGTATGCAGCATGCTTATACGCACCAAATTCTTTCTGAACTTTGAAGTAATTCTTACAGTTTTTTATGTAAAAAAAATAAAACTCCTCCAGATGCAGGTAGGGAAAAAAAGGTGGGAATTGAAGGGGGTTGTGCATCGACGCCACTGCCACTCCCATTCAAAACCAAAAAGAAATGGAGAAAGCCAGAGATACTGAGCCCTAATTGCTGATTCTACTCTCTCTAGTCACATATTAAAAAAAAAAAAAAAAAAAAGGGGTAAGGGCGGGGCAAAGATCACAGTCAGAACTGCAGACAAGTTCAGTGTTTCTTAAAGGCATTTTAGGCAGTTCTTCAAACAAGCAACAACAACAAAACAGCTCGTCTTCATTGTTTTACAAGCATTAAAATCTCAGGGATTTGGAAAAGACCTTAGGAGTACCTTTCCAAAAGCTGGCACTCCTTTTTGGCAGCAGCCCAGGCCAGATCTTTACAAGGACCCAAGCAGTGCAGAATACACAGTCCCACGGGTCAGTCAGTCTCACACAAAGTCTGAAGTAAGGCAACAAGCTTCTCTACCTACTTCTTCATCACCAGAAAGAGCGTACGGTTGTGACCAATCCCTCTGGGATTCAAGCTTAAGGGCAGAACATCAGGATAGTCCGTGAGGGCTCCGGGCAGTAAAGGGACAGAGGACGTGAAGGCTCGGATCACCTGGATTATATTTGGATGAGGCTGCAACTTCTTCCTCCCAAAGACGGCGTTTCTGTGACAAAACATTGATCAATCTACTGTTTAGTTTTGACTCATCACAGACACATCCCTTAGTTTTGAATTCACTGCTCATTAATACGTGTCCTCCCCCTGCAAGGCCCCAGGTCACTTTCAAGTGTGGATATTCTGACGTGCAGCCTTACTACACACAGCACTAAGGCTGCTCAACAGTTTAAAAGATGAACCATTACGCCGAGATTCAAACGCCCCCAACCCTGTTAACAGCGAGATCATGAGGAACGCCAATACCAAACGCAATGTGGTCATTCCCAATTTCCTAACCACCGCCCAGTCCAGCATCTTGTTCAGAATTAAAAACATCCTTCGATCCATCCCGCAGGAAAAAGGGAGCTGTCGCCATCCGCACAGCGCTGTCTGCTGTTACACCAGCAGATGGTACTCGCACCACGACTTCAACGGCACTACCTAGGGCTGCACGGGAACTGGATTTTCCAGAATACAACGGCTGAGCAGGAAATACTTTGCTTTACCTGCCTTACAAACTAAGTTCTGCTGGGAATGATTATGCTCAAAAATGCAGCTATAATTTTACACAAACACCACCATATACCTGTTACAGGCACAGTCGGTCACAGAAAAGAACAGCAACACTAAAGAAAAACAAACCAACTGCCCTCTTCCACATAAACCAAAGGTAAATTCACCCTAGGCTTATCAATTTAAACCCTCTAGTAGATGGTATAAGCTGGAAGCGTTCACTAAAATGAAGGCAAATTACTGACATGTATCTGTAAAACAGAGCATCGTCTCTTGACTGCCAAATATCTGCTTGTCTGTTGCATTCCCAGGCTAGCAATATACCAAACAGTGCTTATTATTCATTTGTATTGGCAGCTGAGGAGTATTTGAAATTTAAATCAGACAATCTGCACTGTGAACTTGATTGTTTCAAAATATTAAAAAAAGAAAAGAAAGAAAAAGAAGTATTTTGGCATTTTAGGAAAAAAAAAAAAGTAACATCAAAACTCCAGATAATTTAAGTTTCAATGCCATTTTTAAATGCCATTTGCTTATTTCCTCACTTGGGCCAAGTGTAAAAACTAAAGCCTTTCCCTTTTTCTTCCTCATTGGTTTTCATTAGTTTCACATACGCAGTGACCTGCACTAGAACAGAACTTCCATGTCCTTCATGATTGTCTTTTTGTTATACTCTAATTATTACAGATTATAGGCATATATATGTATATACTTGAGTAACAAAAAGGCACAACAATACGCATTTAAAGTATGTCAGAAGTGGCTCCTCACACCTTTTAACAAAAACAGCATTTTCATCATCTGCTGATATAAAAGCTCCTGAGTCTACTTATTAATAATCCCAAGATTATGTTTTTTTTTTCCCAGAACTATTAGAGAAAGCTTTACAGCAAAAATATGCTGTAAAATGAAATGCTGGTGGATTCACTGGGCATCGCTGCACTCTCGCCGTTATGATACCTGTGGCAAGGGACGGCTCCGTACTCTCCAGCCAAGGCCACCGCTGTGGCTGGAACAAGCTCCTTCCCCATGGCGCGGAGGATGGCCGCGCTCGAAGAACCGGCCTGCAACAACAGTCACAGCAACATGGGTTTTACAGCCTTGAGCTCTGAAGTTTCTTGCACTGCTTAAGTGTTAAATACTTCACCCAGACTTTCCAAGTGCTGGACAAGTAGGTGAAGAACCGTCTCCTTACCGAAATATTCCACATCATTTTGATGGCTAATGGAAAAGCTGCTTTTTGTTGGTGTTTGGGCCCAGCCTCCTCTTCCGGGCCCTGGGAAGCTGAGCCATGATCCCGCCGCACGGTTGGCGCTTTCCCTGTGGGACGGTTTCCCTCCACGCTCCCTTGGCCATCGGAGGGCAAAGGAAGGGCTGCTTCATACACAGCGGCGCTGCAGCCCTTCCCGAGGGGTCGGCCGATGAGGTAGTCTTCTAGCTTGAAGCCCTGCCAGCCAAACGGGCTCAGCGGATCTCTCAGTGGCTTTTTCTTTCCGACAAAAACTGTCTGAAAGGAAGAAAAAAAAGCAAGAAAAAAAATAGAGCATTCAATATTTTAAGATGAATGGAACCTTTTTTTTTCAGGATTATGCAGTATTATGGGATCACACGTTACACCTGGGCAACAGCTGTCTAGAGAAAAATGAAGTCCTTCCACTGCACCCAGCTATGTTATCTAAAGTGAACTGGACTCCAACACGGAGACTCCAAATGAGGATGTGGTTCAATCCAGCCCAGAGCAGCCTGGCGCCGAATTCCTGGTCCCATCCTCCCACCTGGAGAGCCCTACCCCTTCCAGGAACCAGCATTAGCATCCACGTGGCCACACAGTGAGTCAGGCAAGGAAACTCTTTAGCTGAACACTGATCTTTGCAGCCAGGGAAGCAGTCCTGAAGATGACGATGTGCAGCCAGCGATAGAGGAGCTTCTCACAGCAGCAGCAACCTGCACTTCAGTCATGTGAAAGCCATTGCAGAAAGGGCTCCGTAGCATTACAGCACAAAGAGAGCTTTAAATAAGACCCTGTGCTTAATCCAAGGAGCCTGAGATTCTGCAGGAACATTAAGCCTGGCAATGACATGTCATACAACACAAATTATTCTCCCTATCCCAGGAGTGAAGAGATTACACGCTGCTCTACACCAGGAAGGGCTGATGGGCATGGTGTCTCTTGAAGGTTTTTAGCATGTTCATATGCTGACAAAACCCTTGTAGAGATGCAGCTACATTTCCTGAGAGTCACTAATGCTACGCTTGGCTAAGTTAAAACAGCTAAAGACACTGTATTTTTTTCTGGTGGAAACTGATTCTGGAGCAAGGCGATAGATGCGAAGTGACACAATCTCCCTGCTTGCTAGGCCCACAGAGCAGATCTCCCAATTCATCCCTTAGAAAGAGGGAGCAGGATGGATCTAAGTACCCTTTTGCTTCCAACCTCTGCAAATGCAGGTTAGAACTGCCCTAGGGGGGTTCTTGCTGAAAATTACCACCAAGGTCTTAAATGTTAAGGCTCAAATCCCTGTAAGTACACCCCCCTATTTTTTTTCTGGCAATATATCCCAGCTCAGAAGCAAATTATCCCTTACGAGATGTCTCTACCAAAGAAGCCCTTCCCAGGGTACTAGAAAGAAGGAATAGAGAATACTTGGATAATCTACAAAATAAACAATGTACAAATACAAAATTAAACACTTTTCTCCTCTAACACTAATGTATAAAAATAAACACTTCTCCCCTCCTCTATAAATAATTCTGCAAAATAACATTTAAAAGAAGATCCAATTAAGAGCATCAACAGATGGAAAAACAAGGCCCCAAGCTCCTGCAGCAGCTGAGCAGGACAGTTGGTTCCTTAGAAGGAGAGTGACTCAGCGAGGTGTGAAGGAACCGGGGGAGGAATTCAAAAGAGACAGGGGAAAACAAAGCAAAGGAATTAGAGAGACCGGGGGGCAAAAGCGCTAAAGCAAGTGGTGTCACCCCGTGCTGATGGTAACGCATCCAAGGAAGGCGCTGAGGGGGCCTTGCCCATGAAGCAGGAGCATCTTTGTGCCCTTCAGA